CCCCCCCAACCCTTGGAGCGGGGGGTGGGGGGGGGGGGGCCCAGGGGCCACAGGGGACCCAGACTGGGTGACAAGGAGCCTGTTGGCAGGGCAACCTCATCCCGCCCCCACCCAGGCTGCCGAGGGCAGGGCACGCTCCGAGTGGCAGGCCCTGGTGGTGTGTCCAGGGGGGGCTGGGACAGGGAGGGAGGGGGCTGCCCAGGCCTTGTGCTGCTGCCCCCCAGCCTCCCTCAGCAGCCGTCTCTCCCCCTCCACAGGCTACGGGCTCCTCTTCCTCTCCATGATGGTGACTCCTGTGATCCGCTCCAAGCTCTCCAGATCGGTTGGCGAGGCCGAGCAAGGTAGGGCCGGAGGGGGAGGGTGTCTGTGCCCCCTCCTCCACCACCCCCTGCTCCAAGGGTTGGGGGGGCACCTCTGTGTCTTCTGCCCCAGCGGAGGCCCCTCCTGTTGGAAGGACAACTGGGGGCTTTGGGGATTGGGAGTCCCCTGGGAAGGGGCTGCAAGGGAGGCCCCTCTTTTCCCAGGCTGCCTGACACCCCTCCCTCCCTTCCCTCCCTCCTCCGTCCAGGGGCGCTCTTTGCCGCCGTGGCCTGCGTGGAAGGGCTGTGCTCCCTAGTGGCCACGGGGGTCTTCAGCTCCCTGTTCCCGGCCTGCCTGTCCTTCATGAGGGGCTTCCCCTTCCTCTTCGGAGCCCTCCTCCTCCTCCTGCCGGCTGCCATCATCGGGTGAGTCAATCCAGATGTGGTGGGTTGGGGTTCCCAGCTTGATTGACTGGGGATGATGGAGCCTGGAGTCCCCCCTCGAGGGAATGGCTGACCCAGAGCCATCCTAGGCTCAGTTTCTCTTCCGCGCTGCCTTCATTCCCTTTGAAAGCTGCCCGCTGTTTTCTGGTCCAGTGGTGGGGAGTTCCAGGGGTTAATGATGCATCTTGGCTGCACAAACTGCAGCCCAGGGCCATTCGGTAACACAAACCACTTTTCCCACATGTGACCGTGGGGGATGCTGCGATGGTCGTAAGTGTGAAAAACGGTCATAAGTCCCTTTTTCACAGGTCGTCAAGGACCGTCTGCACAACGGTTCTGTTGAGAACTGGCTTTTGGCAAGACTGCGCCCACAGTGAACCATCGGTTCACTTAACAACAGCGGCATTCACTTAACGACCGTGTTANATTCTGGGAGTTGAAGTCCAGACATCTTCAAGTAGCCAAGGTTGAGAAACACTGTTCTAGTCCAAGCCGGCCCATGAAGGAGAGCCGACTCCACTCCAGGCTGATGGCCCTGTCCAGTTTCTTCTGAAAACCACCCAGGTGCACAGATTCGTTGTTGTTACTCAACACACCGGTGACGACAATTGGGGATTCACTTAACAACCGTGTTACTAACTTGATCACTGCAGTGGTTCACTTAAGAATAGTGGCCAAGAAAGGTCGTAAAATAGCTTAACTACCGACTTGCTTAGCAAAGGAAATTTTGCCCTCAATTGTGGTCGTAAGTCGAGGACTACACGTACTACACTTTTAATATGGTGGTTGTGTTTTTATGCTTTTAACTGTACGTGCCTGAGAGGGAGGCGGTTTGTACAGATGGTCCTCGGCCTACGCCACAACTGAGCCCCAAATTTACGTTGCTAAGTGAGTTTCTATGACCTTTCTTGCCACGGTTGTTAAGTGAATCACTGCGGTTGAATTAGTAACAAGGTTGTTAAGTGAACCTGGCTTCCCCATTGACTTGGCTCGTCGGGGGGTGGCAAAAGGGGATCCTGTGACCCCCCCCCGGGACATTCCGACCGTCGTAGATATGAACCGGTTGCCAAGCGTCCGAATGTAAAGCCTGTGACAATGGTCGTAAGTATGAAGAATGGCCAAGAATTTCTCAGGGCCCTTGAAATGTTGAAAGGTCCCTAAACAAACTTTCGTAAGTGGGGGAGTTTCTGTATTTAAACTGGGAAATAAAAAAATAACCTGCGTGGGTCTCCCACCCTCCTCCCTGGGACCCCCGTCTGCCCCCCCCCCACCCTCCTGGCTGCCCTTCTGAGGGGGGGAGCAGGTGGGGGGGGGTTCCAGAGAGAGGAGGGGCCGTGGGGGTAGGGAGGCCGAGGAGGAAGGGAGGGGAAAGTCCAAGGCCTTTGGGCCCTGAGGACGGTTGTGCTGGTTAGGGAGGGTGTGGCTGAGATTGCCCTCCTCCTCCTCCTCCTCCTCCTCCTCCTCCTTCCTTCGCCTCCCTCATGGCCCCCTCCTTTCCAAGGACAGGGAGTCCTCCACTTACAGCCACACCTTCAGTGTTTAGTGAGCTTTGGACCATTTTACAACCTTTCTTGCCACAGTTGCTAAGTGAACTTATAAAAGCCCTTCATGGTATTGGACCTGGGTACTTGAGAGACCGCCTGCTGCCAATTACCTCCCACAGACCCATTAGATCTCACAGGGNGGCCCCGCGGAAGAGCCCGGCGGCTGCCCCAACCTCACCGGCTCCGGGCCCCAGGTGCGTCCGCGCGCGGCTCCCTCCGCTCCCCTTGCCCGGGATGGGCCCCGGTAGACTGCTCCTGCTCCCGGAGCTCCCCCGTCAGCGCCGCCAGGGGTAGAGGAGAAGGGCCAGGCCAGGGAGCGGGGCTCGTGCTCCAGCCGGTTGCCCGATTTTGGATGCTTCCCTCCCCGGCTGTAGGGCGAGCGGCGGCAGAGAAATGCCTCTCTCGGTGGTCGGTAGCTCTTAAGGTCAGCCCTGCAGGTCGGCCTCTTCACTCCTCTGGATGTCCAGTCTGCTTTCTCTGAAAGGAGCTGGGGTTTCCTGCCTGAGCAGGGGTTGGACTAGAAGACCTCCAAGGTCCCTTCCGGCTCTTGCTAGTCAGTTATTCTGCTGCTTGAGATAAAAGGCAGATTCTGGTGTGGCCAGTAGGGCAGGGGGTCCCCCCTCCCTCCCTCCCAGGCCTTTTCCTGCTGTTTGAAAGCCTTTGGGGGTCATTAGGCCCAATAAGAATGGAGCTTCCACACTCAGAGACAAGCTATCTGTCTGCTGGGGTTCATTCAGCATATTTAACTGGCTCAGGGAAGCTGCTTTCAGGTGGGTTTGAGGACCCTTTGAGGCCCTGCTGGGCAAACTCTGTGGAGACCACAGGAAAAGGTTTCTTTTGCCTTCAGGCTCCTTTCCAAGCCCCCCCTTGAGCCCCCCCCCCCCAAGGTGAGTTTAGATGGAAGGTGAGACTTCTCCTCCCTCCAACTCTCTTGTTACAAGCAATGCTGGTTTATCTCAGCCTGATCTCTGGCTTGTTTCAGCATCGCCCCCCCCCCCCCACTGGCCCAAGGGTCAAAATGCGCTGATTGTGCGTCTCTTTTCGGGGCTATTTGGAATCTGCAGCTTTGGCCCCCCAAAAAGATGTTCAGGAATTTTCTTTCTTTGGGAAAGTGGCTGAGAAACATCTTTGATATTCTCTCGCCCAGACAGACATACTTCCCATCCTGGAGGAACTTTGCTTAACCCTTTATTGCCATTAATAGAGCCAAGGTGGCGCAGTGGTTAAATGCAGCACTGCAGGCTACTGCTAGATCAGCAGTTCAGCGGTTCTAATCCCACCGGCTCAGGGTTGACTCA